CATCAGCTATTCCCCCCTCCTCACGCACGCACAAACACAGACCCCAGGGGGCCGCAGCCGGATTTTTAACACACGCCGCTCCCTCCGCGCGGTGCGAACGGACAAACGACGCCGCCCGCACAGCGTTGCGAGACGAGGCGCGCGATGTTCACCCCGCCCAATCACTGCGCCCGCGTTTGAAATTCCAGCCCCGCCGCACCGCCTACGTCCACGCACTGGCGCGCTTGGCTCCGCGGCCGACGCGCCCTCCCCCCCCCCCCCCCCCCCGCGTGTGCCGCACGACCCCCTCCAGTGTGCTCTCTGGTCAGAGTCGCCGCTCCGCACTGTACGCACCCCTCCCCCCGGCGCTCCCCGCCTTTTTCAGCAGCGAGGGCAACTGGTGGCCGCCACTGATCTCCCGGGGCTTGTTTTCGGCGCGTTCGCTGCCCCCTTCCATACGACATCCCAATTGTTCATGTTTCACTGCACTTGGCGTGCCGCAGGCGACGCGGCTTTCCCTTCCGTTCGATCCTGTCCTGGTCCGTCACTCTCAATTCGTTCGTTCGACAATTCCATCACTTGATAACCTCATCCCTCATTTTGAAATAATGCAATAACTGTACGTACAGTGCAGTAGACCCGCACACACTAATCGACAGTGGTAAACCTTCTCGCCTCTCCTTCAAACAGATTCAAACTGATATCAAATATCAAAACCACACAGTACACAACCTCCCACCTCGTATCGCTTCCGCCTGCTGCACTTCCAGCCCCACTTCCATTCCCGTGAGACCGGACCGCCCCCGCAACCACTTCTGCCCACGCTTACTTTTCCTGCACCCTTCTGCAGACCCTGAAAACACTGCACTCTCACAACAGTCTCACAAAAAGTCTTGCGACCCCACACAACCTTCCCACAAGAGTTATTCTAGCCTTTCGTACCTCACCGCTGCCTTTTCCATTCTTGCTCGCCTCCACGCTGCGTAGTCCTCACTTCCACTTGTATCCTATCTGCCCATCTCCGCACACCAACTCTACCTTCAAACGTTTGTCACGGATAACGTGGCTCAAAACCCGTTGACTACAAGTATACCAACCACACTGTCAACTACATCGCGCCCAGCGAGCAGAGACCAAGTCACTCATTAACTATCGGAAATCAACTAGTTCGGGTAGAAGGTCTTTAGCTTGTTTTTGTGGTTTTTATGCACATATCTCTGAAAAAATACACACCTGACATGCGACCATCCGCAGTCAGGAAACTAGAACGCTTTAACGCAAATGACGAAACTACCTTCCTAGAATCGCGGGTCAAATGCTGCTGTCGGCCAGTTTTCGCATGAGTTAGTTAATGAATATAAGTTAAGTTGTCGATCGCTTTCACGGACACGTCCGTCTCAAAGCCCGCCTTCGTCCCACACCACCACATCCTCGAACCACCCCCAACCAGAACATGCTTCGTCCTCCCAAAGTCACGTCACATTCTCAGTCTAGAAGTGATTCCCGATGTGTATTCCTTTGTCGCAAGCCGTCGAGGGTGCGCATTCGTGCTAAAAAAAGTAGTCGCACGCATCACTTCGGCACTGCCAACCGCATCCACCCGCGAGATCCCCATGCTCCGACGCACTGCTCCGCGCCGAAACCAGTATTAACACACATCCCACTCCGCCACCGCGTCGAGCTTTCGCACGCCCACCCGTTCCAACCGTGTCACCAATCGACGACTAACCCTTCATTACCCAACTTCACCTGTCAACTCAACTCATATCCTCAAGATGTGGAGTTGACCGACGAGCGTTTGACTGGGTCCCAGAAGTTAGCCGCTGGCAGACACGACCAGGTCCACATCGAAACTAGACGCGTACGTTGCGAGGTCCGGCAGCGACTGCGCTACCAGTTGCACTTGGCGCATCAGTTGGTCGATTGACGGTCTCTCGACAAATTTCACCGTCTTGACACGCGAGTTGGGAAGTTTGGACGAGAGGGCGTGCGCAGCGTCCCTTTCCGACATCGAGTCCCCCAGAACCAGTACGTTGAGTTGATCTTCATTCGGAAACATGACGGCCACCTCTTGAGAAAATGCGGCCACCTTCCATGACGATGGCGCGTCAGGGTAGTCGGACTCGAAAGACGTCCGTGCTGAGACAATTTTGATGTCGTGCGTCGCGATAAAGCTCACCACGCGCGGCAAGAACCTTCGCCCAGATAATTCTACCCACCCAGCCTCTGCGTTAGTGATGATGACAACTTTCCCGAAACGAAGCGCCTCCTTCACAATGTTGATGACTGCGATCTCCAGTTGCTCCAACTGCTTTTGAAGTGCCAGCGGTAATGAGCCCGGGTCATCTACCCGAAGTCCTAGCGATGCAAGGTACGTACTTGGGCATATTGTGTCGTCCCAGTCGATGATCGCCGTTGTCTTCGCAACTTCCTCCACTGAGCATTCCGAGTGCGTCGGCGACGCAGGTCTTGACACGGGTTCGGCATCTGACATTGAGTCCGGTGTGACAGGAGAGGTGGGCGTCTTATCGACGACTTGTTTCGCAGAGGAAACCGTTTCGGAGAGCTCTTTGGCGACAGAGGACACGTGCTTCGAAGATTGTTCCAGGCACATAGTACGCGGGGGATGTAGGATGCGGAGAGAAACTCGGAGCTAAAGGCCTGTTGTTAACAGAACACGAAACGTAGTGTCGGAGAGTGGCGAAACGAAAGGGCGGCGGGGGTAGAGCGGAAACGACGGCGGGTCCGGAGATGTAACAACTCAAAAATGACGCGGTGGGCTAGCGTGGAGAGGGGGGCGGCAAATGACGACGGCGGCGGCGGCGGGTCGTGAGTGAAGGAAGTCGTGGGCGGGCCGTGAGTGATGGGGTCAAATGAAGCGGGAAATAAGTTTTGGTGAGAGGGCCTGAGAGGCACGGCAGGCAGCGCTGGAGATTTTAGGGGGAGACGAACAGCCAGAAAGCGGGGTGTAGTTAAATGGAAAGGATGAGAGGGGAAGAGTTAGCACGGGGTTGGGGAAGCGGGGTTGCGTGCGGGGCGTGAATGCAGGCAGAGCAGATGGTGCAGGACGTTTGGTCGAGTAAAGGTAGGAAGAGCGGCCGGAGGAGGAAGGGGTTGGGGACGGGGAAAGCAGAGCAGTAGGTGGGGGTGAAAAGAAAATGGTGGAGGCAAGTTGGCGTCAAGTGTGCAGATGGGGAAGGCCCGTGGGCGAGGAGGGCATTCTTAAGTTGAGAGAAACAGATATGGTGGGAGGAGTCGAGGTGCGAGGGAGCGAAGGAGGAGAGGGGGTGGATGGAGAAAAGTTTTGAAATTTTTTGGCGTAGATGTGCTGAGAGGGGAGGGGGGGTGTGGGGGGGGGGGTGACGAGGGAGGCTATTGAGACACATGATAGGCAAATGCACGAGGGTGTCAAAAAAATGGACTGTGCGCACAAAATTTCAGCACACTGGGCATGACTGCGGCCCAGGCGTGGGGCGGGGAAACGCGTGTCCATGTGGGCAAGGGGGGCAACTGTCGGCAGGGGGGCGCGCGCCACGCAGAATGGGAAGAAATTACCGAAATTCCATTCAGGCCTTTCGGCGCTGCCGCCACCGAGGCGACGCGCGCCCCGAGCGGCCGGCGGTGGCTTCTGGAAAGGTCCAGACGGGCCGCCTGCCGCGGCTCGTAGCCTCGCCAACACGGCCGCGGCCTCCCCGCAGGTCCGCGCGCGGTCCAGCCACGCCCGCGTTTATGAGCCCCGCGTCGGCATGTGCTCCGCGCTGACCGGCGCGGGCACGCCGTCTCGCGCGGACGGCGGCGGTGAAAGATATAGCGGAGGGATAGCGTCGAGCGGCGGTAGGGTATTTTCGGTTTAAATCTTTCGGCTTTCAGGCTATTATCTCTCCGGAGCATCAGATCGGCGAATTTTAATGTAGGTAGATGGGGGGATTTTTCGTTGGTTCGTTTGTCGTTTTTTTAAGCGCGTGACGCGGATGGAAGGCGGTGGAACGTGGAAGGCCGTGACGGCGGGGCGGACATGGTTGTGGGAAAAGAGGCCTGATCAGCGCTAGAAATAGACCGCCCTCGATCGGGGAGGGGAGACAGGCCAGCTTGTTGCCGCACCCCAGTCCACCAGGCCGATTCACCCACACACGACTGGGCCTCTCCGGACGGAACGTATGATAGAGACAGAAGGGGCGCCGCCCAATGGCAGGCAAACCTGGCGCCTAGAACGCGAGGGATGGAAGGTGGAACCACCCGATGCGAGTGGATTGGAGAGAATCAACGCTACGTGCTGCAGCTGCAGGGGGGGGGGCCTGTGGCCCACTTGCGCCCAGAACGAGCGGGGCGGAAGGGCCCGTCTGTGGCGGGCCGTGTGCGCTGGTGGAGCCTGACAATTCCGATTTGCTGTCGAAAAAAGTCTCGCCCTGATATGAATAAAAGCGGTGGCCCTGCTTGCCCCCCTCGCGGTGGTGGCCCCATGGCCACGGACAGCTTTCGCCCGCCACCTTTGCACGGTATATCTGCGGCGTGCGTTCCTCGGGTGGCGGGGCCCCGTGCCAGCAGCGTCGGGGCGCAGCATCCAATGGGGCGCGGGCTCGCGACGGGCGCGCGCGGAGGGTGGCGCCGGAGGCGGTTGCGGCGGGCCGCGCGCCATGGCAACGGACGTGGCCCCACGGACAGGAAGGAGACTTGCAGGGACACTCCCTGGGCTGGTGCGCGCCCCCCCGAAACATGCGAGATTTAGGATTCGGTCGCAGCCGCGAGACTTTATGGACGCCGTTGTCACAACTCGTCGTCGTGTGCGCTGGACGTTGGCAGCTTCGCGGTCGGCACCGTGACGCTGGACACTCTTGCTGCACATCACGTTGCTGCGCGTACATGCCGAGCCGCGAGGTGGGGCGGGGCGGGGCTTGAGGTCCCCAGAGTCCCTGCGTGCCCCGTGGCGATGTCGTCCATAGAAAGGCCCGAAAATCTAACGCACGCCCTTACGCACCCCCCACCAGGTATTTAGAAAACGGACCGGACGGTATCGAAGATCACAGCAGCAGACAGGGGGATCCAGAATATAATTAGGGGTGCTATGTTGATTTTAAAATAAAATAATAAATCACATGTTGATGGTGCCGAAATGATTGGGATATGGAGAAAAAGAGGCTGGAGGGCAGGGCGGTACAGTATGGGACCCTGTCGTAAAGGAGCGATACCCAAAGGAAAGAGATTTTGTTTTTCTTTGAAAGCAGTGGCATTACAATGATTGAGAGGGGTCCCGGATAGAGAGGGGGCCAGGACGGCTGACAGTGAAAATGGTTGTAAGTATGAAACTCTCGAGATAGCACTGATTCTTGTGAAAGAGTTGTGTAGGCCATCATGGCAAGCAGATAGCCAATGGTGTATTCGCACTTGGCACAGCAGTGGCGGGAGGATATCTCAATTACAGCACGAAAATAGAAGAGGTGGTTTACGGGGGAAATAAGTTTCCTGGGCTCGGCGCCGGCATTTCTCGCTTGTGTTTGAACGTGTGCGAGTGTTGCGCAAGCGGAGGAGGTGTTCCGTATTTACGGTCACATCAGTGATCGCCAGGGTATGTTTTTGGGCTTTGGTTCTTGTGTCGAGAAAATACGGACGCACAGTGTTATAAAAAGGCGGGCCTGTATCCGTGTGTCTATTTCATGACGGTATCACGCTGTACGAGCCGGGAAATAGGGGCTCTCCTGTATATTGTACTGTATTATGTATTAATACGAGAGGAAAGGAAAGAGAAAGTATAGTGATAGAGACTCTCGCCAACGCGCGAAGAGGTACAGTAAAAGAGGCGGCGGCGCCTATTTTTCCGTATTCATTGAAATGCCGCTCGAGATGGCCCGATGGGCCCGTGCGGGGGGGGGATCAAAGTGGGGAAGGCAGCAGTCCCGGGGCCTTTGTCACGTGCGCGATGGAACGGCAGCCTATCTTTATTGCTTGAAGGGGACATGAGAAGCGGTGGGCAACGCGGTCTCGCGAGCGCGAGCGGGGCGCGCAGAATGCGTTTCGCCCACCGCCAACTGAATTTTCGCACACCAGCCCGGCGCGCCGCGCGAGCGACGCGGCCGGCGGCGGGAAATCCGGCGCGGTACACCGCGCACGCAGGCGCGAGCACGCGGCAGGCGGCGGCGTACAGTACAACGGTACTGTACAAACGCGGCTGTAGCGCGCGCAATGAGGCCACCGATTGACGGCGGCGGGGCCGTGCGGGGTGCGGATGGCGCAGCGCGCGGGTACAGTGCGCGCGCCCGCCGTGGCGGCGGGCCGGCGGCGGTGAAAGGGCGCGCGGCGACGGGCGTATCTGCGCGAATCTAGCGCGTCGGGAGATGGCGATCTCGCGAGGCGCGCGCCGCGCTTGTTGTAAAGTTACTGTACCCTTGGTACTGCACACCGGGCGGCGCCGGGGGCCGCGCGCGCGACGAACGCAGCGCCTGACCGCGGGCGGCCCGCGGCGCCCTCACTGCGGCGCGGCGTGCCGGCAGGAAATCGGGGCGCGGGGGGGTGGCAGAGGCGGGAAAGCGATCCGTGCCGGTGAGCTGCGGCGAGCGAGCGTGCGCGGAGGGGTGGGCGGGCCGGTGAGGGATGCGGCTGACGTGTGTGCGAG